AAAATATATAAAATAAAAGAATGAAAAAATTTAAAACAAATATGGTTTAATAACAATAAAAAAAATATAAAACAAAAGAATTAAAAAAAAATATGAGAGAGAAAATGGACGTTCCATTTATTCCTCTCCTGTTAAATATTATAATGATGTTCAATATGCAATGCAATTTTATTTTTATTGTAATTATAAATGTGTATCGTATTTTTGAATACGATCTTATAGATTGTGTAAACTTATATTTCGTTCATGTTTTGTGTCGGGTGTGTGTCAATTCTTTGTGTTCTGTTTCAGGTACCTAGATCATAGCATTTCCTTCTTTCCTAAATTTCCCTATTTTCTTTTTGATTCCTCCCGGGTGTGCGGTCGCGCGTTTGCTCTCATTTGCTGTGAATGAGAGCAGCGGCTTCCACGTGGCCGCATGTCCAGGTGCAAAAGGTATATTATCTTCTCTCGAAGATGATAACCAGGTATCAATTCAAGCGCAAAACATAGCCTCTGAATTGATTCAAGACCGTATCGCATTTAACCTTCACGAGGTTGCACCTGTTTCATACAGAATATGCTACGGATCTCATTTTAATCCACTAGATTTACCATACGCTGGTTCATCTATGGGATTAAAATTAAATTATATATTAAAAATCCATCCTTCATTCCATTGCTTCATTCCATGATTTTTGTTTCGAGTGCGATTTTCAAAGTGTTGCTTTATTTTAATAATAGCAGTAACAATAACAAAAATACATAATCAAACATAAAGAAGTGGAGAATATTATTTAAATATTTGAGATAATATCATTAATTTTTGATCAATTTTTGTAAACTATTATTTTATAAATTATTATTTTAATATTACTTTACGTGTTTTATAATTGATATTTTTGTATGGTTTTGCTAATATTATTTTAATTCTAAGTGAAATTTAACTTTTAATATACTTATTGTATTTTTATGACATTTGCTAGGTAACTCGATGAATTATTTAACATTTAAAAAGTACTTTCATCTATAATTTTCTAATCTCATCTCATTAGCCATTAAGCTAAAATAGTATTATAAAAATATTAATTATCAATTTAATAAAAATTAATTTACAATTGTGGATTTTCTATAAATTATTTCATAAATTTGGGTGCGTTTTTCGTTCAAAAAAAAAAATGCGGTAGATATATTTTGGGAAGAAGGTCAAAAGTTCATTTAGAAAATAATGCATAATACAAAATAAAAATTTTGTTTGTCTTGAATAGGATTGACTTTCGATGACGCAAAATAATTGCAATATGGATAAAGTGGCATAAGTCGAATTATATTTATCTACGTGAGTGCGTAGCGATGGACATGCAAATGCGATTAAGCCAGAAGGCGGCTTCGTTGGTAGATTGACCCTCAAGGATGTCCATATCTAGGGTGGACAGTGGTATAACCACAATCAAGTATTGGTCAAATATTATTTTCAATTATCCTAGGTACCCTTAAGAGTCGCGTATGGTAATGATAAGGCAGTGACCATCGGTCAGTCGGGGACCGTTGGTCCACCACTCGAAAAGCAATTAATCCCCAGCATTTTTTTTCTCTTCCGCCACCCTCCAACCCTAAAACCGTAACTAAAACGTTTCTACGATTGCCCACATAAATAAACCCTAATTGAGAGTCCCCCAGGATTCGTCACAACTCTTCACCCTCGAATTCAAATGAAAGAAATACATTATAATTACATAATATCCAATGTTGAAAAAATACCCTTCCGTGAACTTTCAATTAAGAAAGTTTAAAAAAAAAACTTTAAAAATTCGGGGCGCTTTTGACGAATCGTTGACATTTAAATATGTAATATATATGTGTGACAATAAGAATTTAATTGCGTGAAATCTGGAGACATGCAACCACATTCACAGATTGGCCCAAATTATTTGAGGTTAACCCACGTACGCTGTTAACATTGCTGGGAATAATTGAAATAACGGAAACCGGAAGTGAAATCGTAAGGGTGGTTTTTCTTCAGTTTACTTACGGTCGAGGTAGTGATGGACCCACACTGAATACGCGCAAACCCACGGACTTTGTTGAGAACACTCGACTTTCGGCTGAGCCGCTCAGATTAATAACAAAAGACAATTATATATAGTATATATATATACATATATAGTAAAGTATATATACAGAAGTCGTGCTACTTCTGTACAAAAAATATGGCCCAACATCGCTTTATGGTAATTATATCATTATTATACAATTACAAGGAACACACATATTCATTGGTAATTTTCATATTTAAATATTTCAATTCATTAATATATACAGAATCTTTTATTTGCATACAACAGAGTATTGCTGTGTGTTATGGCTTGCATGTTATTAATTTAATGCGCATAAACTTTGCTTCCAAGTTTTGTGCAATGCTAAGTACCTTATCCGGATATTCTGTGTAAGGATATGCCTGGATAGATGGGTCTTGCGCCATCTATGACCGTGGTTCCGAATGTGTCTTTATATACCTATAGTAGTAATATAGGGTTCAGTAACCTATCAGAGTTTCCAACCATGGCACGCAATAAAATTCTTGTAAGGAGCGTGACTGTATAGTTCTTGGAATTGAACAAAAAGAAGGAATGGAAGCAGAAACATCGCAATTCGAAGATGGCGACTGTTTAAATATTAAAATTAGCAGGAAATGGAATCGTTTGTCTTTCCTCAAAAGTCCCGACGTCGTCATTTGTCACATGAAGGACGATAAACAGTTGTTTTTTGTTTATCCATAATGTTGGATGCATCACGTAGTCAGCAACAATGTTTCGAAATAAAATAATAAATGTTAATCATTATTGTACTTTTTTTTCCGTTGTTTATAACCCTGTCAATTTTTTATTTTCTCGCTCGTAACAAAGTCTGTTGATTGCATTATCGAACTGACTCTTTATATATATATATATTTATTGCTTAATGTGTTTTCAATGTGACTCAGGTATCTCTGATAATTCCATCACGTCGCAAGATAACTGATGGAAAAATAGACGTACTGGATCAGTTAATACGACGACTGATAAAGGGATACCATAAACGATATAGATATAACAATTTTTCGCCCTCAATTGCCATGTGTTTTGTTTGTTTCGTTTATTAATTTGCTTTTTTTTTTGTTTCACTAACATAATTATTACAATAGAATTAATAATATAAAATAGAATTGCGAAAATATTACTAGAAGCTAAATTTTATGTACTAAGAACTATAAACATTTGAATAATTAATACCACAGGTAAAAATGAAAGAAATTAGACAGACTTAAGATATTGTTTTAAAACGTAGGGATTAATTATATTAAACATGGCATTTGGAATTAATTTATTTCTGGAAGTTTCTCCTCCGATAGGGGCCTGTATACGGAGCCGCTATGTTTCTTGACCTTTTGGTTGCTCCACGGGATTATGTTAATCTTAGGAACGTTGGCGTTCCTGTTGTTCCTTCCTTGGAGCAGCAGCAAAATCACCGATACTGTTATAAGGAGGACGAACAGAGTGGTCAAGACGAAGACGATGGTCGGTTTCAAGTACATGAAGATATCAATGCGATTGCGTTGTTTGGTGAAATGTGTCACGTCGACGCTCATGACACTCTCCACATCGTCTAAGAACTGCTGCTCTTCGTCGTCGTCTTCATCTTCATTCTCGTCGTCGTCATCATCACCTTCATCCTCGTTGAAGATTTCTCTGAAAGGCAAACGGTCACTATCCAGTTCAATGTCATCATCGAGCACCAGCTTCTGTTGATCTGTCTTCGAAAGTTCTGGCACGTACAGCATAGACTTTTCATCGTATGAGTAATCATCCTCTTGGATTGAGTCGTCATCGTCGTCCTCATCTGAGCATTTATTCACCCAGGACTCCAAGTTTTCGCTTTCGTAGGACAATTTAGTTTTCAAATAGCGTATCGTATCGAGAGTGACGCCATTGCAGTAAATGGGATTCCCAGCTAATTCCAGACTCGCCAAATTTTCCATATGGCTAATCTGGTCGATCGTAATTGTGTTGATTCGATTATTTTTCGCGTTTACTACGGTGAGGTGGGGCAGAGAAATTTTGTTACCTTCGCCTTCCCAGAGATCAAACAAATCGCAAGAGCTAACGTCCAAATGTTGAAGGAACTTGTTATTCTTAAACATTCTGATGTTCAAAACTTTCAATGGATTTCCCGAAAGAACGACGGTTGTCAAACGCGAATTTCCCAGAAATAGGGATTCGTTCAAAGTGGTCAAGTCGTTGTTGCTCAGGTAAATTTTAACAAGACTAGGGACGTACTGGAAGATAGTTTCCGGCAAATCGGTCAATTTATTATTTTGCAAGTTGATCGTTTGAAGAGACGGCAAATACTCAAACGTTTGCTTATCCAGCTTTGTCAGACCGCATCCGTCGCATGAAAAGTGCTCTAGCTTCATGACAACGTCGTTGGTCTTGAATTTCGGCAAAGTTTTAAGATTGTTCCTATCCAGAGTTAGTTTACGCAGCCTAATATTATCTTTGAAGATGGTATCGGGAAGAGATTGCAGCAAATTACCACTCAAGTCTAAGATCTCAAATTCGGAAAGTGCGCTGAAGATGTTCTCGTCTAATACCGAAATTTTGTTATCGCTAAGGTCAAGTTCGGTCAGCGCTGAGAAATGTTTAACAAAGTCGATGTTCTTCAAACCGCACGATTTCAATTCGATCTTTTCGATGTCGTTCTCGAATTGCGCAGCGTTCTCGAATTTCACGATCGGATTACCACTCAATACCAACGTGGCCAAGCTTTCATTCATATTTACCAAAGACTTGAAGTTGAAATGCGATATTTTGTTACCAGCCAAGTTGAGTTCTTCAATCGGGAAGATGTACGGATGGTTGAAATGCTCTATGTTGTTGTTCTCCAGATTCAAATAATTCAACTGTGGACATTTCGAGAACATCATCGACTTAATCTCGCGCAAATTGCAACCGGACAGTTTGATCTCTTTGACCGTCGCCGACTGAATGTCTTCGAAGTTCGTAAATGTACTGTTGGTGAAATCTATGACCGTCAGGTCGGTCATTGGTATAAACACGTTAATCGGCAACTCTGGGATCTTTGAGTTCTTGATGAACAAGTTGCTGACGGCGATGCCGGCAAACGCATTTGGATCGATCTTCTCGATGGTCGCATCTTCGATGAACAGTTGCTTGAGGGACTCTAAGCCGATGCGTTTGAAGATCTCGGCGGTCAGTTTTAGTGGTTTTTTCGGAGAAACGATTTTGAGTTTGTCAATATGTTTACCGAAAGGGCTCAGGTCCAATGTGTTGCAGGTAGCTTCGTCATTTTCGGTACAAACACATGGGGCTGGACACAATTCCTGGGCTGCCCTTTTCGTGGGCACGGACTGCACTGCGCAGAGAATCAGTGCGAACACAGCGAGCACTTTCATCATTTCTCTGCAACTAAAAACAAAGAATTATGTTATTTGTTGCGGACAAATCCAAACATGAATCGTTTATATTTGTACAGTGATAACGCGACGAGGCCACACATATTTGATTGTTATTGCTAAACGAGACTGCAGCATGCTAATGGCTTTGTCTACTGTAATTCAGTTATTTAACCTTGACTTAAGTCTATTTCGCAGCGTAACTCACTTGAAACCAATTATTTGGTGCACTTTTTCGGCTCTCGTATTCAATTGTTTGATTGGTAAATTATTTGCAAAACAGGACAACACTTACTCTATCGCCTCAAATATATACGGGATGGAAACAACAGGTACCACCGCACTCGATAAGATAAAAAACAATTATGAACGCAATTGGCTCACTTACCTGACAGGTAAAAACTACCTGAACCACCTGTTGATGCCAGCGCCACAGCTGTACCACTGGTTACAACGTAATCAACTAGATGGCAGGTTACATCATCGTTCGAGTAACGCTTTCCACTTAATTTCCCGCTCTTTATTCAAAAACCTTTTCTCTGATGCATACAAATATAATACAAAGGAACCATCCTCAAGTGACTTCACTATCTAAAAACTATGTGACTTCACTATATAAAAAAAATATTATGTAGACAACAAATATTAATAATTTCTATATCACGTATATTAATTAAATCCTTAAACCAAGTGTAATATAAAAAAATAATAATATCTTATTATTTATAATTACGTGACATGTTTGTCTGACAAAAACAACATAAATCAAATATTTGTCAACAGAATTTATCGATGTTATGCACATAAGTCATACACATAATTATGTTAAATACATTAAATGATTTGACTTTTATTTAAGTAACATTTGTTATTGTCAGTGATAAATGGAATGCGTGGGAAATTTGAACCAAGCAAAATGTATACATTATTGAAATTGATTATATAATAAAAATACATAAATAAACATATTAGGCTTATATTTATTTATAATTTAATTAAAAATTGGTGTTGTGACATTTTTGTTTTGAGTAATAATTTCGCTAATTGTTTAAATTAATCTCTTATATTGATACTGATAAAAATATTAAGATAATTTACGTTTATAAGTAATATTTATTTTGTATATAATTCAATAAATTAAATTGAGCATTTTCAAAGATAAATCAACCTTTTTTTATTGTAAGGAATAAAATAATTGGAAATATATACATTAATTCTAGTTGGCAATAGATTATAGACAATAGCGTCATATCTACGGTGTGTTTGTTGTAATAAAAATAATGAAACAATCATACATTTCTTTTCAATCAGAAAAAGTAAAATTGAAATATTCCATTGTTCTCAATACAATTGCAGTCGTTCATTAAATATCATTCAAGTATGATACTTTTATAAGTAACGTTTTCTACCATCAAAATTTAAGATATGTCTCTTATTATTTAAACAAATTGGAAATCAAGAAATATACTATATATTTTTATTAGAGGAAATAATTTACTTCTATTTTAAAATAAGTTAATTGTTTTAACATTTATAATTCTATTATAACTATACGTTATTTAATGACAGTTTGAATTTTGCTCCACGAACAGCGAGAGTAAATAACAACATCTCAGTGTCCGTAATAACGTTGGTTTATATTAGCAACACACTTATTGTGGAGCAGTGTTATGAATGACTAGGGGTGACCTCTATCGTCAATTAAACTTACATTTAAAAAAAATAGAAATAAATAAACAGAAACGACCGGCATTATACAATCTGTGCGATGCACCAACCAGCTTGTTAAATTGTACAGAGTCCACAGTCCTAATTTATAGTTTTTATTGCATAAATTCAATTTGTCGTTTAGCAGAAGTATTTGTTAAGGAGATTTCTCTCTCAACTAACCATCGCTCGTTCAACTGTACGACTTATGTAAATTTGTGTATGGTTAAAACTATTTGTAAACCTATCCTGTTTATCTTTGATGTAAATATTTAAGTGCACGTATTCAAATTATGTCGTTTAATTGCATAAGTTTAGTGTAACGTTACGTTCATTATTCCTATTGTTATATTAGAATTCTACTATCTTGTTGTATTTTTAAATTGCGTTGTCAGAAAGTAATGACTTTCTTGGTATAATTAGTATAGTGGATGTCATCCGATATTTAATTTATGCTGTTTAATTAGATATATTAATTGGTTTGCGTAGTTCTACGCAAATTAATGGTTGGTAATGTTTCAAAGTGTAAAGGGCATCGGAAAATGTAGCTATTGGCCGCGAGAGGGCTCTGCTAGGCAGTTTTCGCATTCAATATTTGAATGATAAAAAGCGCACTGAAACTTCTTCCTTTTTGAACTTTTGTTCGTATTTTCTCGAAGCTTTCTTTGTTTTTTGAAATATAATACTAGCAGATAAGATAAGGTCGATGCGGGATCGGGATCCGATGTGCGTTGTGCAATGTGCGAAGGCGGAGAGAAGTTGTCCTGGGACGAGTTTTGCAAGTGGTTAGATGGACAGTGACGGTTCTTGTTAGCCTTAGCCATAGCCATAGCCAGTATTTGCGAGTGGTACAATCGGTGCCGCGGAACAATTGCTCACGTGTCGCGACCTGGATTTCTCCCCACTTGCCCCCAACGCTGTGTAAAGAGTGTAATTCAAAACATTCAGTGTCGGACGTCGTGCGATGCAACATAAAATTCCGATAATAATGTGCAAAGCGGTTTTATCGCAACCCAAGTGCGTGAGTCCAGAATAGAGCGCGCTAGAGGCAAGAGACAGAGTGTCTTAGTCGTACTAAGTGTACTGCTAAGTAGCCGCTAAGTACTGCCAGTACATAGACGCACAGTCCGATCAGAGGTTGACGTATCAAGAAACCGCTTCCTGGCTATCAATTGTACCCTTCAAACCTACCAGTAAGTTTCGAATATTCATTTATTTATTATTACTTTCCGATTCATTTGCGTTCCACGTTTTTACCCGGTGTCACCGAAGTTCAAGCAAACACGCGATACCGCTCTGCTTGCTTTCATTGGAGTATCCTAACGATAATTCTGGCATTATAGACGGAGCAGTCTTCGATCTGCACCTTCGGTACCAGAAGGAACTCCCGGAATTGTCGTCCCCGCGAAGCAGTGCTAATTGCATTACCGTCTAAAAATACGTCGCGAAATCGTATAATCCTGTTATAAAACAAAACAAAACAAAAAGCGAATTGCGGGTGAGTATTCAAATTTCTTTGATCGCCCTTTTGGCCTCAATTAAATCCGTTGACGCACGGTCCGTCAATGACAACCAGTTTTTTTTTTCATGTTCGGAGACAGAGCGACGTCGCCGCCGAAAGGGACGCGATTTTTGCTCATTAAATACCTCGGGTTGCAATAATTACTTGGCCATTAGCGTTAATTGCAGGTAGAGAAAAGTGATTATTGTCTCGCAGATGTAATTGGTTTGTTTTTGCGCGTTTTGCACTTTATTTTTTAGTTTTTCGATGTTATTTTCCAAACTTTGGACATGACGCGCGCGCGCTTTTTTCACATCGTGTCGCAACGGAATGCGCGCAGCCAAGTGGGTTTATTTTCGCGGTGGTTGGATAGAATAGATAGATTGTAGTGTATCTAAAATTTCGGTTTCTTGTTTCATCGTATTTCGTCGAGCTCTCCTCTTTCTGTCGCTAGTTAATTGCAAGGTAATGGGCGGGACGCCAAAGAATTGGTTAAAAATATATTAGCGGCAGCGGCCACTTGCTGGGCGACTGATTTTGCTACCTAAGTAGAAGAATAGTTGGTTTTTGGTGGGCACCGTTATGGATGGTGAACGCGTGTAATTCACTTTCTGAGTGAATCATACGAGCCGAGCTGAGCCAATGATGGGTGGTGGTTTGCTTTCGAAGGAGAACGCGCGATTGCCGAGCCGCAGCAGCCGGACGGACGGACGTCGTCCTCTGCGTCGCCTCGAACGTTCCTACCTCGAGGAACTCGGGAACTCGGATGGACGCGCAATTATTGTCTTCATTAATACCTATTATCGTTGGTGGTGGACGGTGGGTTTCCTTGAGGAGGTAAGAAAGCGAACGGCGGTCGGTCGCAGTTGCTCGAACGCTCCGTCGCGCGCCGGTTCACGAAATCCCTCCGACCGTCCGTCCACACGCGGTCGCCTGCGTCAACTCTGGTCAACTCTGACTTTTAGCATTGACACGGTTTTCGCAACTTGTTGAGCTGCCGTAGCTCTCCCACCTTCGGTACCACCGTAAAGCGAGTTACCCAGAGGAAACCGAAAGAAAGCAAAAAAGCCGAATAGAAGAGGAAGGACGAACAGTCGACGAAAGCTAAGAAATAAAGCAAAGCAAGAGAGAACCGCGTTCGCGATCGTATCGTGTGTGTGTAGTATTATAAAGTATACAGTTCGAAGTCTGCTGCGCGTATACCCGAGCTCGCTTATCTGGGCGAACCCAGTAGCACCCAGATAACAGAGCTGAAGGGTCCGGCCAGGTGGATCATACCGCCAAATCCCGCCCAACGTATACGTTTCCCTCGGTGCGCCATCACGCGACGACACAGATAGTCATTTTTTATCGGTAAGTTACGCAACGCGCAACGTTCCATGATCGTTGGCCTTTGGTCCGCATCCTTGTGCAGTCATCAAGATGCGTGGACGCTCATTGCGGAAGTCCTGCATTACAACGTTGAACCGCAATTGACACTTAACTCAATCGCATAATACAGGTCACTTTATGCAAGTGACATTGGCGCAACCCCTCGTGCTCGTTTCACAATTGTTTATTCTTTTGCAGGACATCGAAGATGCTGCACCTCCGACTGCTGGCGTTGGTGGCCCTTGCCGTCGCCGCCCCCGCTCCATCCCACCGACCGACCCTCTGCCCAGAGGCGTGCGAATGCACAGAGCTGCCTTCTGGTCACTTAGAAGCTGTATGCATGAGTCCGGACTTTCTGCAAAGGCTGCAGCCTAAGCAGATGAGCGCGCTGGTCTCGCTTGAGCTGACTTCCCAGAATTTAAACAGGATTCCTAGCAAGTTGAGGAAATTGAAGGGGTTGAGTCAACTCGATCTCTCCGGCAATCACATCTCCGATTTATCCGAAGTCACGCACTTGCCGAAACTCACCAGGCTCTTGCTCAAATACAATCACATCAAGCACCTCCCGGTACAAGATCTGCCGATCAGCCTTCAGTATCTGGACATCTCCCACAACCACATCACTGCAATCCCACTAGGCTTGAATAAGTTGCCATCCCTCGCATTGCTGAACCTTTCTGGAAATCCGATATCTTGCAGTTGTGAATCACTTGAATCTCGCCACATGGTCCTGAGTTTGTTGGTGAAGCCGGTAGAATGTTACAGCCCCGAGAAGTTGCGAGGCCAACTACTACAAGATGCTATGTGCCTGGAAGGACAGGACCAGTACGAGCTACCCGCGGCCGACGAGCCCGCAAACATAGAAGGGTCTGGAACAGATCCAGAGGAGACCATTACCGACAGCAATGTTTATGACGACGAAAAAGACCACAAATATGTGGGTATAGAAGAAGAGGGATTAATTCCAGAGAGTACGAAGAAATCGACGGAAAACAGTACAGACAGCGAAGTACTCGTCGAGGAGGGTAGCGGCGACATCTTCGGCGAGGATGAGGATAAGACTGAGGAGAATGTTGAAGGATCAGGCGATGAGGAAGTGACCGAAATACCAATTATTCCCATTCACCGTAGGCCCGATCAGCGGTTAAAGTCGTGCAACTTCAACTGCACACCCATTGACACTGAGCTGGATTCGAACGACACCAGTGAGGACCCCGACATGGTGAAGGAGATTATAAAATTGTTCGACGATAGGATTACGACCACGGAGGTTCCTGTCATTGAAGAAGAACATGAGGTGACCGATGACGACGACAACGAGAAGGTGCTCCACGCGGAAGTGACTGAGAAAATTACAGTGGAGTCTACGCCGGCGGACGTTGTCGACGAGAACGAGAAAATACAGGAGGCGATGAACGTGGAGGACACGGAAAAGTCGTCATTCAACACGAACGTGATCATAGTTGCAATTTTAATCATCATAATGATAGCTCTGGTCGCGTACTCCATTAAGAAGAGGCGCGGGGGCCGACTGGAACCCCCAGAGTACACGGAGCAAGAGATGAAGCCGCTCGCCTCGAAGCCGACCAATGGCGGAAGTGGGATTCCTGAAAAAGTGCCGCTCATGAATGGGCAGAACGGCAACATGAATGGTAAGCAGAACGAAGAACCGGTCGTGACGTTACGGAGGAAAGACGAGGACGAGGAGGATAGCAAGGCCAGACCAGAAACGCAAAAGGTCACCATTCAAGCCAAGGAACTGTCCACCCCGAAGACACCCCTGCTCGTAACCAGGTCGCGCCGTGATGATGGACAGTATGTCGCCACACCAAACGTTTCTAGTTAATTGTTCTCATCGTGTTATAATTTCTATTACCTCAGTATTTATTAACCCATAATGAAAACATTTGTGATACACTTTAACTTATATCGCGGTTGTTCCTATTATATCGTCGACACTCCAAAAATCGAAAAAATGAAAAGATTTTAAAAACGAAACACAAAAAAACAAACAAAAGTAAATATCAAGAAAAGAAACACGTCAAAGGTATCTCTACTTCTTCTACTCTTTACTAAATTCTCTTACCTGCGCGTAATCGTTTTAATGACCGCTTTTATTATTTGTTATCTTCGTTCTTCTTAGTTATTCCTTTGTTTACATATTTTATTTTTGTGAAACTATTTAAAGCGTTGCCAAAGTAGTTAGTGTTGTTGGATTAATCTAATTAAATAGGTGCTAAATAAATAAATCAATTAATGGTTTGCGTGAGTTTGAATAGTTATATACCTATGTATATATATATAATAATATATACACTTTAATCAAAAAATCTATGTATATTGTGCTTCAACAAATTCAGAATATACAAGAGCAGGGTAGGTTTTGAAATGAAACAGTTAAAAAATAATTATATATATATATATGCTTTTATAATATATTTTACTATCCTAGTGAGAAAAAAGTAAGTAAAAACGACATACTACTAGAAAAAAAAATACTTTTATTTTTATAATACAAATATAAATATAAAATTATTTCTAATGTTAATTTTGATAAATGTTTAATTCTATGTTATATTTATGTATAAAAATGATACAACAAACAATTATATAGTATATAAAACAACAAATAATAATAATACTGCAATTGCATAATCGAATGTTTATGGACTTTTTATTTTAGTTCTTTAATTGTTTTTGTTTTAGACTAAATTAGGGTGTAAAAATAAAATATTTTATTGAAAAAAACAGGTAAGTTATTGTGTTAAATGTTTATTTGCAACGAAACCACGAAATGGATTTAACCAATATCGTAGCCCATATTAGTGGTGTTAATATTATAAAAAAAAACCTTTCACCAAAGTATATATGTATAAATATATATACATATGTATATGTTAAAATACAAACAAGTAAATAAGATTGTGGTTAGAGTTACAAGTCGCTTTCGACGAAAACAGAGGTACGTGATGGTTCTTCGTCGCTCACATCTGCATTTTCGCTCTGTTTCTGTGCAGAGCGTTTCCTCTTCCTTCTAAGCTTCCTAGGTTTGCTGTTGCTCTCAGAGTTCTTGTTGTTAAGACTTGCGCTAGAACCGGCCAGGTTAGTCATGGAAATCGCCTCTTGGTAAGTTGGTGGGTTTTCCTCTTCACGAGGGTCCGGTGCGTTGGTCGAGGTCGTGGCCACGACGATCTCGCTTTCGGCCGCGCGCATCCTGCGCAAAACCTCCAGGGCCTCCTCCCGCTGTCGCTCATGCTCCTCGGAAGCCCTCTGTTTCTTGCGCCGATTGCGGTTCATCGATACCATTACGCAGAAACCGATACAGAATACCAACACGAAGACTAGAGAGTACAGCCACGCCTTCCTGCTGCTGGCCAGGCTTCCAGCAAACCATACCTCTTCGCATGCCGTGTACCAATGCACACCTTCAAAGGCTTCCGGCGAGTGACATGTCAGAGAGTATACGTCCGAGCTAATATTCGTAAGGTGTTGGTACAGATCCTTAAAATCCCTTTTCTCGCACTCGCAGCGCCATGAATTATCTCCCAGCCACACATTCCTGACGCTTTGCAGGTGGTTATGCTTAATCTCTACCAACCTGTTACCCATCAGGTTCAAGCTGAGAAGATTATCCATGTTTCTGAAGGTTTCATTCCTCAGATTGCTGATTTTGCAGTAGGACAGATCAAGCACTTTTAGGCGCTTCGAGTGGAAGAAATTCGGTACATGAGAGATGACGTTACCTGATAGATTCAGATGTACAAGATTTGTCAAGTACTTCAAGTTGTTGAGAGTGATCTCGCTGATTTCGCATTTGCTCAAATCCAGGTGCATTAAAGATTTAGACTGTAACGGTGCCATCCTGGTTAAATAATTGTGCGACAGATTCAGTATTTTCAGGTGTTTGTTCGATGCGAATGTGCTCGGTAATAAGGCAGAAATCATGTTGTAGGATAGATCGATTTCATTGACAAACTCCAGATCGGCGAAAGCATCCTCGTGCACTTCTTCGATGGAGTTGTGTGATATTTGCACTTTAACCACGTTGGGCATGGTGGCGAAACTGAAGGCATCGACACGACGCAGATGGTTACCACTGACATCAATGTCCTTTAGATTGGTGCATTCGAGTCTAGGCAGCTTCTCGAAATTGCATTTGCTGATATCCAGAGATATCATGGATGAGGACACGCCGGTTAACGATTTCAGCTCGAAGTTCTGCGAGAGTATCAAGGACATCAGACTAGGTAGATTTGCGAAGACGTGTGCGTAGAAGTTCTGAATATTGCTGTCGGTAAGGTTCAACAATATTAGAGAATCGCTTTTGAAATTGGCTGAAAATACGGGCATTTTGTTTTTGCTAAGATCCAGCGATTTCAGCCTCGGAAGGCTAATATTTGTATCGAATCGGATACTCGTGATTGCGGTGTCGGTGAGGTCAAGGATTTCCAGGGTGTCGCTGTTGATATTCGGGAACGTCCTCAACGTGTTCTGCGAGAGGTCCAGGCATTGCAACGACTGGAGATCGGAGAATATCCTCGGGTGGATGTCCGACCAGCGGGAGAACGCATTTTGCGACAGATCCAGCTCCTTCAAATCCCTCAGTCCTTCCAGCGAGCGCACCGAATTTATCCTATTATGTTTCAAGCTGAGGCTTTCGAGTTTACTAAATGCTGATATATTGCTCGGCATCGCCATGAAATGGTTGTAAGAAAGATCTAATGCTCGGACCTAAAAATAAAAATAACTGAAACGCAAATCCCCTCGAGTATCTTCAAGGAAGTAAAGACGCGAGTAAAAATGCTCGCAAAAAAAAATAAACTGATATCTGTGTGTGTATATAAAAGCGCTGCAGGTTAATTCAATTTACTAGGGCCGGGGCGGCGCTGGATGAATTATGGTTTGATATTATTAACAAGCCCTATATTATGAAGCCCTAATCTCATTTTCGGCTATTATTACAAGGATTTTGCTATTTGAACCGTAACTGCAGATTCAAAATAAATTAATAATAAAAACAAATAAATATAAACACATTCTATGCTAATTTCATGCTCTTGAAGATATTAAGTTCCAGCGAAAAAAACCTCGAGAATGTAATGTTATTTTGATCTTATTTGATTTTAATAAAACCTATATATCTCTTTAGCCGTGGCAGCGATTTGTATCGGTTTACCAGCACCAAAAGCGGAGAAAAACAAAACCAGAAACGCATCCGTTCACCGAATATCTTCAAGTTCTTTTTTTCTGATCCGTCCATTGGTAATACTTATATGCCGTATATGTGCACGTTCTTAAAAAAATAATAATAATAAAGGAAGAACAGAAATATCTCATTACGTCGTCACTGAGGTTTTGTGGTAAATCCGAGAGTTCGTTGGACATGCAATTGGCTATTGCCTCTGCCGGACAGTAACATTCTTTAGGACAGGCCAACGTATGCCCCCAGAGAACGGAGGCCGCAAGCCACAGCCACAGTTGTTTCAACATCTCGATCGGTTCTCTTGATCCGGACCCAAGGAAGCCTGTAACAAAACAGAAACCGACCAAAAAATAAATAAAATAGTAACACATCGCGTGAAGTAAACAGAAAAGCAGACACACACTCACAAATACCCATACAGTACGAAAGCCAGCCGTTGGACCGACTGTTCAAGGTCTAAGTTACGCAAAATAGTACCACTTTACTACGTGTTTTTACCTGAAACAATTTCGATTCATTCAAAAATTCAAATCTGTTATCGTGATATTGAGAACTCCACATACTGCGTATCAAAGACAGATTACTTGAATTATAAGTGGATGATGTATTTGGAAGCGTTGACTATAAAACAACAAGCATTAAATTTAAGTATATACCGAACAACAAATATGTTTCATAGAATATCTTATATCTATCTTCCAGCAATTGCAACAATCACGGCTTTATTTAAATATCAAATTTGTTTATCAATTCTTTTCATGTTTTCTACGTACCCGTTGCAATTAGATTGTGCTTATCTAATGTCACTGTACAGCCTTTACTCCCACAACTTCTACAATCTTAAATATTATTTATCTTCGTTACACAAGTATTATTATTTTTATTATTACATATTTCAAGTTTTCTAAAAAATGCAGTATCCTTTGTAGGGATTTGGGGGTTGCGTCATATTTTTATCGATATTTTAAATAGTACGGAATATTGGCAAACCGCACTATGCGAGGACTATTGCTGAATTTTGTTTTTATGATTTGCGACTCGTAAAATATGAAGCTGTTTTTCTCTCGAGGTTACTTAATATTCTTATAATAAAGAGATTATTGAGAAATGTTAAATTAATTAATTCTATCACCTTCAATTTAATTACCTTCTGTTAACATACAAATATATTATATAACCACAATAATTTTGCGTAGTCTCTTAATGAATTAATAAATGTTTCTTTTACATATATTGTTATTAAATAATTACAGATAAATTATGAAATATATTATAAAAAAATAAAGAAAAATAATAAAATTTTGGTCCAAAATAGTGAGAATAAAAATGTATAAATAAATAATATTGTTTTATAAAACAAATCTCTCTGCATATATGAACTAACTTATAAATACTTGCTTCAACTGTATTTCCTTTGATTATGTGAATTAAATTGTATAAGTCGGAAATATATAAGATAAGTTCTCTTTTCTAACGGTTTATGTATTTTTGATATGATTTGAATTATAAAAAAAACGTATTTAAACAACTTTAATGTTTATTTACTTAAGTTAGAAAGTAATGACCTTTCCAATCTCGGTGCTATTATTAGACTTTGTGAAGTAAGGAAGAAAATTGATATTTCTCCCAAAAAATTGTGTTTTAGACAATTTTTATCATATCCAACTTTGTTAATCTTTCCATATCAATTTGATTTTAGAAATAATTTAATTGGTTATGTATAAATCATCTTATATCAAGCGTCTATATATCCAAGGTCAAGTTCATATAATTTATATTCGTTTTAACAAGATGTCTGATGAGAATGAATTACTCGTATTCATTTTGGAAATGGACAAAGGATTATTGAACTTCTGTTTTAATTCTAAAATTTAAAATTTGTTTTCTTCAAATTCTCATTAAATCTCAGTTCAGTTAGTCTCACAATGCACTAGTTCTAGAAACATAACATTTAAATATGTATTTAAATATATAAGCTCTAAGTATTACGCAATATGACAAGCGTGTCGTGGTGACATGGATAAGTATAATTCATTGATTAATATTAGATTTAAAATAAGTTTGTATATATTTTTTACTGAAATGGTATAATCACATTATTATATCCAAAATTACGTCATGTACACTGAAACCGAGTTATGCTTCAACACAAATATTTATAAAACGTTAAGGTTCCTTTAAAAAGTGACGTAGACATCATAAAGATCTTATATTTGATGATAAGTTATCATTTCTTAGAAGACTATATAAACTGTACATCTCTTGTTGATTAAGGGTTTAGAACTATTCTAAAATCATTATTACAAATGTCGTAAAAGTGATTTTTTTTTGTTAAAAAAATAAGATTTATAAAGATTGTAAATTTTGACAACAAATATCGGAAATTTAGATAATTTCTTAAAATTATTCAAGGACAAAGCGTGAGTGATAAGGTTTTTGAATTTACTTGAAATATTTACTAGACGCGAGCATTAGTATGTTATAATTTTTACTAGGTGCTTTTTTTGTAATGAAACTTAAAACTTTTCAAATTCATCTCTAGTGTACAAAGTTTGAAGCACGATTTGTCTCTTAACATGATACTGTTGTTGTTTGCTACATTATTACATAATAGATGTTGTTAACCTATTTATTTATTTGTATTGTCCTATTATTAGATGTGTACGTCTGTTGGACAAATAAAAATGATGATGTTTATTAAATGAATCTCTAAAATTGCAAACAATTGTTGGATTTGCTGAAACGAAACGTCAACGATTTAATGTCTATTCATCCTAAATGGCTAATAAATGCTGTCAGAGAACGGTTTTTGCACTGTTAAAGGCGAACAGCATTTGCTATATATCGGACTTGTTTCTAGCAATTGCAAAAATTGATTCTATCACTTTGACCCACACATGATCTCCCCTCTCCCGTATCAATTCCTGACTGCTCTAGCCTCGCACAGCTACGCTCAAGCTCCAGCAATGTTCTCATTGGACTGAATTTAGTTATTTAATGAATGCAAATAATCGCAGTAATTTATTCATTGCTTTATTAAATTACCACTAATTGATTTGAAATCTTGTTTAAAGAAACCGTTAAACTAAAGAAATGATGTATTCAAGGAACGTGAAATATCGAAATAAATATTTTTTTTTATTTAGTTTACAGCAATTTCATGTTTTCTATTTTAATAGTAGATCATTATTTTTAATAACTATAATCATGTGCAATACCTGTTTGATATGTGTTTTTTTTATTTGCTCTCTAGTTGACCGGTTTTACGACTTAAATTTACCTTTAAAAAATGTCATTGCAACGAGTTATAAATATCTTTAAATAATAAATTCTGTTTATTTCATAGTAAATTATGCTAATTTTATATAAAAATCATCATAATTTTCCGTTGTTACGTACATTATTAAAGAGAATTAAATTAATTATTTCTATATTTGTGCTCTTTCTTTTAATACCATTTATTTTTGTAGCATAAAGGTTTCATAAACAAATAAAGAATCTGATTTAATTAAATAATTGTTCATTTGCACGAATTACATTTCATTTATATATATTTCCAATGAATAGAGTTGAAAAATATGCTTTTATGATTTTTTCTATTTTTTTCTTTATTTTTATTATTAGATAATAATCATATTTTGTGGAAATTTTATTTTTATTAAAATTTTAGTTTTTTTTCGAAATTTTTAAACTGTACTATAGTGAATCCATAATGTACTAATAGAGACTTTTTATACTGCATGAAAATAAGCAGCAGTGGTTTAATACTTTATACAGACAGTAACTGTATAAAGGACAAATAATAATAGTTTATGTAAACAAAAAATTATCAAACCGTTTGAGAAACGCTGATATTAAGGACAAATTATGTATAAACATAATTTTGTACAAAATTTTAAAATAAAAAAATAATGTTCGTTTCATATTTGTTTATTTTTATCATCGTACTTAACTTAAGGTTAAATAAATAAACAAGAAGTATAAGAAAATAGAAATAATAATAGTGCACGTTGCATAAACATGATAAACACAAATAAAGATAGTGGAGCGTGTGGGTGTTTAGCTACTTCGGAGTTGGTGTTTATTCAAGAATAATAAAACTCATTACAACTGGTTCGTTTAAAACATGTAAATCGAGATTACGAAGAAGTAAAAAAAAATAATTTATCTGCAATAAATTATAAGTGTTGAGTGTAAAATAAGCCAACATATTGATATAAAAAAAAAATCGTAACCTATTTCATGTTTGCATTCAAAGTTTTATGTAACTGAGGTTTTATATATAGAGGAATGAATCATATAATTAAGTAATGTAAATAAATCCAGTATTTTACGTTGTATATAAATTAAATTAATGGTGACAGTTTCAACCATGAACTTATTATTTGTATTTTTTTTGTTGTTGTTAAGGGTTTTTCCCATCGTTGCTTTGCTGCGACATTCATTTCGTATGGAAATAAAGCAGTGAGTGCAGATACGTTTCGCCTGACCGGAAAATGCTATGAGAATTGATTGTTCACATGTCGACCTACATGAACATAATAACAATTTCTTTATTAGTTAACAAGATTCAATATTGCCAACCAAGGGGCTTCCATCCAAGGATACGCAATAAACATTACCTTCTATATACAAACGAAATTGAACTGAAAAAACATCAAGAACAAAATTCTGCTTTTTATTTTCATACAATTTTTGTATACATTTTGTTTCGGTTACCAACGAATGTTGTTATAATTATATTTATATATAAGAAGAAAAAAAAAACGTTCACACAATAAATTGAAGGTTAGCTAATTCATGTCTATTTTATAATAAATGATAAAAAAAAACATTATATATAAATATAGTTATATAATTTTTTTTTTCGTTTCATTAACGATGGAACAAAACAAAATCGAAATATAAATCAAGATGATTTTCTTCTCAACCGGAAGACTTTTTAGTAAAAATATGCGAGGTCTTGTTTTCACTATCGAAACGTACGCAAATTAATTTGAAATCGACCTTGGATTCGTGCCAAGGTCACGGTGCGCGGAAATGGGGTTTCGCGCGTATGGAGTTAGATGGGAAATAGCGGGACCTCCGAAAATGTTGCGTCTTCTACTATTTTTTCTTTTTATAAATATATATAAATATTTATAGAGTATTTGAAAAATAAGAATATTCTCGTATATTGTTGGAACGTTACAAATGTACACTCCGGTTGACGTGACGTGGCCACAGACACGTAAGACGCAATCTACATAATTATGTAATCGATTTTGTCGTTTCGTATAATATTCGAAAACGAACCACAGCATCACAGTCTGTAACATATGT